GCCACACTAGCCGATGAAGATGAAGACGAAATCGCCGAAAATTTTTGCCGACGACGGTTTAATTTCGAGAACAGAGAAGACGAAATCGAGAGAGAGAATAATTGTTATTTTCTCTTTTTAATGAATTAATTAGTATTATATTTTTTATTTTTATGTATGTTAAAAAAGAAAGTTGATAAAATGAATATTCTATTTTTTTCTTTCAATTTCGTAAAAAAAGTTATATATTCCGAAAATATTTTAAAAAATTTGTTTTTAATAATATTGAGGTTAAAACTGGGTTATGAAAATATCAAAGGTTATTGAGATAAAATGATATGTGTATAAAAGTTATTGATGTTGATACATGAGTTCGACAATATATTTGTTAAACAGTAAGAACCTCGGAAATTCTCGTTTATTGATAACGTGCTCGGAAATGGATTACAAACAGCATATCCATAAAGAGTAATGAATGTAAAGGATGTTGAGCTCGGAAGCTTATAAGCTGACGAACCTTGTGCTTCGCAGATTTACTGAGTAACAATATCGGCGTGATCGGTGTTCCGAGGTTTGAGACTGAGTGATATGCAAGTGTAGTGGGATCGAGAACTGGGTGATAAGTAAGTGAGATCGGGAACTGGGTGATAAGAGCACTGTGATCGAACTTTGCAAGCCGTTTTCTTTAACGATCTTTGTATGATTCCGGCGGAATGTACGAACATAATTCTTTTCCTTTTTGGGTGAGTTAATGTCCTGAAAACCGTTGGTCCTTCAGATCTCTTGTACTCTCTCCAAAAGCTAATAACTGATGGATCATAGAAGGTGGAGGGACCCCTATTTATACTAGATGGAGGAGGTACATTAATATAGGGTTTTTCTTGGGACTTGAGTTGGACATTTAATTCTGCCGGGCCGAGCTCGACGAGATGGGCTTTATAATTTGTCAATTATAAGGCTCATGCCCAACAATTGAGACAAAACTAATTTGAAATTGAGTCAATTTAACAAATTTCCCATAAATAAACTAAATGGTCTGTCGTAATTTCTTTTCGATCATTGAAAGGACCAAAGGAGCATTGTGAAGTAATGTAATTCATTGAAACGTTTTAGTTTTTACCATGCCTTTGACAGAATGAACAATTTTGATCAAACAAAAATGGCTCAACATGGGTTACTTTTTGAAAATCTTTAAAGTTCCTCCGTTGCTTATAAGTTATAAACATGTAACTCATGTCAAATTAATTACGTAAATTAATACCCTTTCTTCCTCGTTCTATATAAATTCTTAAGTTTCTTCACATAATCAAACCATCCAAAGCATC